GGGGGGGGGTTTCGAGACAGGGTTTCTCTGTGTAGCCCTGGCTGTCCTGGAACTCACTCTGTAGACCAGGCTGGCCTCGAACTCAGAAATCCACGTACCCCTGCCTCCCAAGTGCTGGGATTAAAGGCGTGTGCCACCACCACCCGGTGAGATTTTCTTTAAGGACAGGAGTGAGCATGATTTTTTTTTTAAAGATTTATTTATTTATTATATATGAATACACTGTAGCTGTCTTCAGACACACCCGAAGAGGGCATCAGATCTCATTACAGATGGTTGTGAGCCACCATGTGGTTGCTGGGATTTGAACTCAGGACCTCTGGAAGTGCAGTCAGTGCTCTTAACCACTGAGCCATCTCTCCAGCCCGAGCATGATTTTTTTTTAAACACAAGGTCTCAGATAGCCCAGGCTGACTTCAGATTTGCTTTGCAACCAAAGCTGACCCTGAACTTCAGACCTTCCTGCCTTCCTCTCCTAAAATCTGGAATACAGGTATCCACTATCAAGCCCGATTTGTGTGTGTGTGTGTGTGTGTGTGTGTACCAGGTTAAAATGCCAGAGTCTAATCTGTAGCTCTGGGACTATCAGTGAACCTAGCATCCTGGAGAGGAAGGAGAAGATTAACTTCCACGCCCTTTCAAGGTTGCGAGCTTTGAGAAAATTAAAATATAAACAAACAAACAAGAACCCGGGGCAGTGGTGGCGCACGCCTTTAATCTCAGCACTTGGGAGGCAGGGGTAGGTGGATTTCTGAGTTCCAGGCCAGCCTGGTCTACAGAGTGAGTTCCAGGACAGCCAGGGCTACACAGAGAAACCGCGTCTCGAAAAACCAAAAAAACAAAAACAAAAACAAAAAACCAAGAACAAACAAAATGAAAAACCAGTAGCTCTAGGGGAGATAAAACGGCGAACCCAACTTGTCACCCAAGGCACTAAGGGTACCGGGTGTCCTGCGGCTGGGGCGGGGCTTGTAACTGTTGTGACGCTGTGGGCGGGGTCTCCCTTCGGTCTTTAATCTCGCCCACCGGCCTTTGCTTGCCCTTCTGCTGTTGCGCTGCTGCTGGCTGCTGTGCTCTGTAAGTCCCTTAAGTGGAGGGGGTACAGTTGGGCCCTTGGATCCCCCAAATTCAGATTTTGAGACATGGTGTACAGGCAAGGCATGGTGTGAGGGCTTCGGCGTCACCCTAGGCTGCCTTGGAGGGTTTGGGATACTCATAGTGGTTTTGGGAGGGCTTGGGACCCCTTTTGTGACCTGAGAAACACAGGCTAATCTCTTCAGAGAGAGCGGACCTGCGGGGTTCGCCTCTGACAGGTGCCAGGGTCCTAGCCCAGGACCCTATGTATGGGTTCGCGGCGGTATCCACACCCGCCACCCCAGTGAACTGAGGTTCCAAACACCCAAGCCTTGCTACTTACTATGTTACCATCATGACCTTCCATGGCCCTGGGCACCCGTCTGCGTCACTCTAAGCAAGTTACTATAGGCCCGCTTTCCCTCTGTTTCAGCAAGTTAGATCCCTGAAGTCACTTTCCACTAGTGTCCTGTAACTGTAGGTTGCTCTAGGCAGCTCAGATGGAAAAGGTGTCAGTGCACCACTTAATTACAGTTATCTCCCATTTGAATTCTTTGCTCCGATGGAAATCAACAAGTGGCCATGGATGGAGCTTAGGAGAAAAAATTTTGAATGTTATATTGCAAAACTCAACAAAAGGACTTGATTCTCCACTCAGCTGGTAGTGCAGCACTTGGCAGCACTTGAGAGGAAGAGGTAGGCGGATCTCTGTAAATCCAAGATCAGCTTGGTCTACCACGAAGCATTCCAGGACAGCCAGGGCTACACACATTATTCACTAGTTTTTTTGTTTTTGAAATTGTTATTTTATGTGCATTGGAGTTTTGTTTGTATGCATTTCTGTGTGAGGGTATCAGGTCCTCTGGAACTTGATGGAGTTAGACAATTGTGAGCTGCCGTGTGGTTGCTCGAAATTAGACCCAGAACCTCTGGAAGAGCAGATAGCACTTAACTATTGAGCCATCTCTCCCGGCCCGTATTCATTAGGTCTTTGTGGCTTATGTACCACAGAAGATTAGGGATGCCTACACAACTTGCTTTACCGGGTATTGTAAGGAGTTCTGAGTGTTTGAAATTTGCTTTTTTTTTTTTTCTGCTAAAATAGAACTGTGGTTTGCATATTCACCCTGACTGAGAAGCAGGACTGGCCATTTCTGCCTTCAGAATTAGACAGATGCTCCCGGAACAGTTTTGGGACTAGCAAATACAACTTAAACACCTCATTAGTTGGTATGACAATATCTGGTTTTCTTAGGTGCCAGTTCCTTCTACTCCTCTTTTGCTGTTTTTTGAGGTAGCATTCCTCCGTGCAGCCCTGGAACTCATTGTAAACCAGGGAACTTGATCTGACTGCCTCTGTCTCCCAAGTACTGGGATTTAAGGCATGAGCCACCATGCAATGTATCCTGAGATTCTCTGTATAGCCCTGGCTGTCCTGGAACTCACACTGTAGACCAGGCTGGCTCAGATCAGAAATACGCCTGTCTCTGCCTCCCAAGTGCTGGGATTAAAGGCGTGCGCCACCACTGCCTGGGCCAACCTGCTTTTCTTATAGCACCTACAATCAGCAGCCACAGTGAGCTCAGCCCTCCTTACATCAAGTCACCAATCAAGAAAATGCACCCTAGGCTTGCCCAGCAGCCAGTCTGGTTGGGGCATTTTCTCAATTGAGGTTCTCTCTTCCAGAATGACTCTAGCTTGTGTTGACATCAAAACTAGCCAACAGCCATAGAGGATTTTTGTCCAGCTTGCAGAAGGGAGGAAGTATGAGTCTTTGTGTATCTGGGTGTATGAATGTTTGTGCCCGGGTGTGTGTGAGGGGATATCCAGGGAAGGAAGAGGAGGGAAGAAAGTACTCTAGAATTTTTTTTTTTTGGATTTTCGAGACAGGGTTTCTCTAGCCCTGGCTGTCCTGGAACTCACTCTATAGATCAGGCTGGCCTCGAACTCAGAAATCTGCCTGCCTCTGCCTCCCAAGTGCTGGGATTAAAGGGATGCGCCAACACCGCCCGGCTAGTACTCTAGAATTTGAAGGGGACAATGCTTATTTTGTCTGTCTTAAATCCCATAGCTCCTAACAGTACCTTAAAATATGTAAGAGCCTAATTATTATGGGATAAATGGAACTGAGTGGAAAGCCGAAATCCAATGAGCAATGTTCCTAAAGTCATGGTTTGCTGGGATGAAAAGTAGAGAACAGTAGTGGCGCACGCCTTTAATCCCAGCACTTGGGAGGCAGAGGCAGGCAGATTTCTGAGTTGGAGCCAACCTGGTCTACAGAGTGAATTCCAGGAGAAAAACCCTGTCTCAAATCAATCAAACAAACAAAAAGGGTAGAGAACTTAAGACTGAATTCCAAGTTCTGGCTGTTTTCTCTATACCAGCTAGTCATAGTCATAACTGAGAACAGTGGGAAGGCAACGGGGCCTGAGGTGCAGATGTTCTCAGAAAATGCTCATAGCATAGCAAGGTTAGGAGTGTGCACACTGGGCAAGGTGAAGAGGAAGGCAAGCCTTCGTCTCCCTCAGTACTGGAATAGATTGCTTGAATAGAACACCCGCCGGGCGGAGCCCAGAAATCTCCTGCAAACCCTTTCTGAGTCTTGTTTTATGTATCTTATAAATTTTCTATTGCACCAGGTTCTCATACTCTACTGAACTCTATCTTCTGACAGGACTCCACCATGGAGCAGCACCCCATACCTACCTTGCTGGAACATGGCAATTTCTCTCGGGTCCTGTTTAACAATGTGGAGAAGTTCTATGTGCCTGGAGGAGATGTCATGTGCTGTTACACCCTCACTGAAAACTTCATCCCTCGTCGCAAGGACTGGATCGGCATCTTTAAAGTATGTTAATACCGAGGGATTAGGAACTAGCAGTGAGTCTTAGGTTCCAGGTACATTATGTCTGCCCAACTAGAAATTCTCAACTACAATTTCCCATATCACATACTGGTTTATATGAGCCTCAGGGTTTTGTTGTTGTTGTCTTCAAGACAGGGTTAATCTGTGTACCCTGGGCTGTACAGGAACTTTACACCAATCTGGCCTCAAACTCAGATCCCACAGCTTCTGTAGTGGGAGATGTTTAAATCTCCAACCCAAGTATGACCAGTCAATGAAAACACAACTCAGTAATTATGAATATATTCTTTAAGCCTAGATTGGGCAGATACCCCTACACTACTCTATGCTTCAGCCATGAGACTCTTTTTTTTTTTTTTTTTTTTTTTTTTTTT